GGAATTACAGCGGCCAATTTTTGGGTGATATAAAAATTGTTGGCCAGGGCCATCCACGATTTGTGAAAAAGGATATGGGCTTTGGACTTGAAGCATATATATTGCGAATTGAATTTTGTGAAGGTTTTTTTCGCATCTTTGGTGACAGGTTCATTTATGACTACAGAAATCACCCATGTGATAAAACTACGATTACAATTTACAAATAATATGATATCAATGGTATTTCATAGTGGCACTTTTTTTTTTCTTTTTCATATTTGCAGGGTGTTTACCGTCGAAAACAATGACTAATATATTAAGATTTGAACTGTTTGTTTTTCGAAAAAAAAAAGTGTTGTACAATGCTATATTTATATATATGTTTATCTTAAAAAACTTGAATCGCATCTTTTAATAAGGTTCTTATATGTTCTGCTACTATTTAAAGATAATAATAATCAACTTAGAACAAAGTCTTTTAAAGATTAGTTTGCTTTTGTTAGGTTTAAACTACAGTTGAGGGCACTGTTCATTCGGACTGGATGCAATATCTCATTTAACAAAGTCTGCATAATTTTGCCTTGGAAAAAGAGTGTTTATTGCTGCCCTTTTCACATAATCCTGACTCGAAAAAAAAAACACTATTCAAGAAACAAATTTGGTGAAGCATTTGGTGGAACAGACAAGAACTTTAATAGCTTCCTAGTGAAACAGAGAAGGCCAAGTGTTGGGTCGCTTTGTCCCACATCGGCCGAGGGAAGTAGTGGGAGGGAAATGGTGGATTATTTAAGCGGAAGGTGGACAACCAGGTTACATACTTACCTGGACGGGGTCAATGGGCGATCAAGAAGGCCCATGGCCTAGGTTGGTGACCTCCATCGCACTTGGGAGGGGTACTCTCCTAAGGTCTACCCGAATGGGTGGAGCCTACGTCATAATTTGTGGTAGTGGGGGCCTGCGTTCGCGCGGCCCCTGTCCAATTCTATTGTCAAAATTTTTTGATTATTTGATTTCAAAAATTATTCTAAAAATTTTTCTATAATATCGAAGCTCTAATATTTTCTAAAATAGCCGTAGTTTTCATAGGTCCCATAAATTTTTTTTTAAAAAGCAGCAGAACTCAATTTATGTAAAATAAAATAGGGAAATGCAAATTTATTTTTATTGTTAGAACAATAAAGTAATTTTGGATCTTTGCCCAAACGGATGATTTCATATTGAACTATAAAGTTGAACTATGAAGTTGGACATAACGGCGGAATCAGGATTCTATAAAAATTATGGCATGACATAATCTTCTATATTCAACTATAAAAAAAAAAAAATTTCAAGTCACTCGGCTCGACATGCAATCCGGTTCTCGGTTCAACCATTTGAACCGGCCAGTCCGAGCAACAACACTGCCATAAACCTTCAAAAGCTAAGACCAAAAATTCTCGATCCACCACAACATCCTATAATATTTTAACAAAACAAATAGGAATAAAAATTTGGGGCTTGGACGATCACGGATGAATATTGTTCAAGTACTCCAATCTATCAAAATCCATTACCATAAGAGTAATAAGAATCAAATATATATGAAGTGAAGAGCTTTCAATCCCATTAATCAACTAACAAATCCTCACATAAGTTGACACTAAAATTAAAGTTTCCAAAACCCGTATTGGCTGAGGATCGAAATTGAAAACTGAATTATGTTGTTTTGAAGCTTACTGAACTAAACTCGAATAATTCGAAATTCACGATGTCCAATAGTTATAATATAATTACGGGCGAGATAAATTTAAACTGGGATTAAAAAATAATGGAACTGGAATCTTGTTGTTTCTCACGAGATTAGCACAGGAGAAAGGATAGAAATTAACCTGGCTGTAATTTTTCTTTTCGCTTTCTGGATGATAATTGGTTTAATAGGTCGTAGGTTAAGTAGCAATTATCCTGTACAATTGGTCTATTTATAATTAAAAACACCTTTTAATTTAAATGACTATTGTTAATCATGTTGATCTTACGGTTATTAATATCGACTGAACCATTCAGTCAACTGAACTGTAGCACCCCATATATATATATACTAGATGTTTGGCCTGGGCGGATGCCCGGACGCCTGCTTGTCAAATTAAACTCCCGTATGTTAATTTAAGTTGACTCAATTATTATAAAATAAATAATCAGAAAAGGAATAATACTTTTATAATATATAGAGAGAGATATATATAATAAAAGACCATGAAACAGTATGGGTTTTAAAGTATAGAGATATATACAATAAAAGACCATGAAACAGTATGGGTTTTAAAGTATATTTAATAAAATTAGGAGAAAAAATAAAAAATTCTCGGTCCGAGACAAATGGTTGGCTTATAAATCCTTCAATCTATTTTAGAATTAAAAATTACATGATTAGACAAAATAAAAAATATAATATAAGTTTGAAAAAAACCGAAAGTACTAATTTCAGTCTACTTATAAACTTTCTTTGGATAATAGATTAGCCAAGAAAAAAAAAATCATCAACTTGTTTCTTATCATCCCATTCCCGCATAGCTTTAACCAAGGACTTTGATCACATATAACCCTGCAACTTAGAAAAACTACAACACTTGCATATCTCTATTTGGTCAAAAATCTTTTTAACTTCACCAAAGGAAGCCGAATGTTGGAAAGCCAAAAGATTTCGTTATATTTAAGCTGCAAATGTAAAACACAAATAAGTAGAGGATAGCGGAAATTTGGTGGTGAAGGTCATCCAAAACAAATGATCTTTCTTTTCTCAGTCCATTTTAAAATTTAAAGTTGTTTAGTCTAACCTAATTTGTGGTTGACTGGTATGCACTCAGATCTTGAATGAGTGCATTGAAACTGGAATAGGAAGAGCCACCTTCTTCCACATTTTTCTTTGCAGCCACTTGTAATGTCTTGAATCTTTCCCTGATTTGGATAGCTTCTTCACCCACCATAATCCGCTTCACTGCCTTAGGAATGTCTTCTCCTTTGATAACAATTTTTTGTAACTCTACCCTACTCTTTTGCTCCAACACCAACACCAATCTTCACAACATCAGTCAACAATTTTTTGTTTATAAATTGCTCCGCAAACATGGGCCAAGTCACCAATGGCACCCCAAAACACACTCCCTCCAGCGTTGAATTCCATCCGCAATGAGTTACAAATGCACCGATGGCTTCATGTTCAAGTATTAAAAGCTGGGGAACCCAGCCTTTTATAACTAATCCCTTTCCTTTGTTTCGTTTCTGAAATCTTTCAGGAAATCATTTCTCGCTGTCTTCTTTATCCATATATTTTCTGACAACCCAAATGAAATTTTGGCCACACACCTCAAGACCCTTTGCAATTTCATGCAATTGAGCCGCGGTGAAATCGGACATACTTCTAAAACACACATACATAACCGAATTGGGCTTCTTGGAGTTTAACCATTTCAGGCACTCAAGTTCATCAATGGATGACTTCTTCCCTCTTTGAGCAATCACTTCTATTCTAATAGGGTTAATACAAAGGTAAAAAATCAGAAAGATAAAGATTTTTTTACTGATGCATATGGCACAGGAAAAACATATGCAGGCCTTATTGTCTGTGATCAAAATGAGATCAAAATTGAAAAACTAATGCATAAATTCAAAGGAATGAGCCAGTACAACAGAGAATCTTTTCCTTCCTTATTCCCTCGTAGGAACAAACAAATATGGAAGAATCAAAACCCAAAATCTGAAAGGACGATACCATTAAAAGTAAAGAAAAAAAATTCAGTCCATGCAAGAAAAAATACCAATGATATAAATCCGGAATACACCTCCAAAAAACCTGAATGCCCGAACAAAAGCTGAAAGTAAGAAGTCATATTAAAGGAACAAAGATGGGTGATTGCTTTAGATGAAACTATGTTCTTTATCTGTTATCCATTCAATCTAATCAAGTAATCTAAAAAATCCAAAATAAATATGGAAAAGAAAAGACCCAGAATCCAATAATTTGATGCAAACCTTTACATCAGACCTTGAAAACTCTGCGTAGCCAAGAATGCTTGTTGTTGTTGCTTTTCTTAGTGCATATTTCACCTTCATCTTCGAAGCCTTTGAGCACCCTCTTTCCCTTCTTCCAAGAAGAGCGCAGAACCATAATCCCCATGAAATTCAAAAAATCAGGACAAAATAAAAAAGAGACTTTCAATTATCAAAATACGAATTCTGAAATTTTACAGGAATTACTTGAGAACTTATTTGAGTCATCGAGATTTTTTATTCAAGCCAAAAAATAATCTACTACAAAGTGCCAGTCAAGTCGGCTTCCATCTGAATCTTAACAAAATTATAATTGAGTTGCAATGCTTTCATATCCTCCTTGTTCAACCCCTCCATCACACATATCCCCAAATTCAAACTCTAGCCACTTGCAACCATTCTACAATACCATTACCACAGCATCCTTCTAACACTTTAGAAGAAATACAATAAATAATAGTAACAAATAAAAAAAGAGGAAAAGGTTAAATTTTTCTCAAGATTTTATTGAATAAACGGAGGTAGACCAAAATGCTCTAAAAGAAAAAAAAATACTGAATTATAAATAGATCTTAGGAGCCTTCTCTGCTCTCTACGACGGCAATGTTCAAAATCAACTTCAATACCTTCATCTTCCTTATTGAATTATTCAATTTTTTTTTCGGAAAGCTGTTTCACAAAAACAAAAATTCGAGCAAACATCAGCTTCACGATTATAATCGTATGATTGAAAAAGAAACTATGTTTCAAAGAAAAAGCGACAGTGGGGGGGAAAAAAAGAAGTTTAGGTGGTGGCTAACATTTTGTAGCCAAAAAAAAAAAAAAAACACCTTTCCTGTTGCCGTTGTCGTCTGCTGTTTCTGTCGAAAATTTCTTATTTGGCATGAAGAAATTCAGGCAAAAGGATCGAATCTACTCCAAAGCGAGGGTTGGTTATGCCAAAAGTATAGATTTAAATGGAAACCCGATGATTCTACAATTTCCGAGGAACAATGGAGGCCTTCTCTGGTGTTTTAATGTGCTACACTTCAGTAGAATCTTCATCATCGTTGCTGGGGTGGGTTTATATAGTTGAATAGACTGGAAAAGGAATATTTTTTAGAACGGTGAGGAGAGAACGGAGTGATTTTAGGGATTTGATCAAAAGCTTTAAATTTTGAGAATGATGCGGTGAGAGAACAAAATGATTTTAGGGATTTGATTGTGAAATTAAAATGGGGATTTTGAATTTTCAAGATAAGTTACTACCTTAAAATGGGGGATTTTCAATTTTAAAACTTTCAGTTTAATTTGCTGTGTTATAACTGGACTCAGTTCTAAAATTTTCTGCAAATATATGAAGCCACGTGTCGCATTCTGCTTTATTCGGATTTGTACTGGGAAGTGCTGAGAAATTTTAGAGGAAAAATTTTCATTATGGTACTGACACGTGTCCTTTGTGTTTGCTGCTTTAAGTAAGGACTATAGATAAATCCATCCATCCATCAAAAACCATTCTTGACTCTGTATCTTTAGGAAGAAATTAGGGCTTCAATAATCCGTGCAGAAGAACCAGAGGAAGCAGAACACGGTATGGCCGAGGCAGTAGCAAAAACGCTGAGGAAGCGCAAATCAGCGGCAATGGAGGACACGGATTCTACTCCTCTCCTCCTCCTCGACCAGAAAAGTATCATCTTGGTCCTCTACCCCAATTTTTAAAGGAGAGGTATTCCCGGTTGTTTTCTGTTCCTTCTGGCCGGTTTAATCCGAGAAAATGGATGGAGTACTTCCGGGTGATGCACAACAGTCGGGTTAGTGTTTTTAATTCTAATTAGTAGTTAGTTAGTTAATTACCCTGTTTTCGACATCTGCTTAGGTTATTTATTATCAATTTTTGGTGGTTTTTTTCTGCTTCCAGGGATTTGACATAGACACCGAGTCTCTTCCTGTAAAGACCACCAAACCAAAGATCAAACCTTGTGATTTGAGCAAAGCTAAAGTTGCTGATTCCATCTTTGAGATGTCACAGAAGTGTATTCACCTCTACAACACCACAAATCCTGATTATCCATATTCTTGCCTGATTATCCCATCTTTGGTGGCCTTTCTAGGTGAGTATGTTGTTTATCCTGATAGTTGTGCAGAGACGCCAATGGCGGTGTTTTGCCAGATGAAAAGTGTGGTCCTTGAAGATTGGGAAAAGGTCAAGTATACTTCTAAATGCCGACTTGCTTGCTGCAGCACTGCTGCGTTTGGTGGTGCCTTGTCTCAATATCGTCCGGGGCCGCGCACGAATCAACAAGCTCGAAAGAGCACTGGTTCTTGAACTCTTCTTCTTCTTCTTCTTCTTCTTCTTCTTTTCTTCTTCTTCTTCTAGGGCGTGTATGCTATCATGAATGATGATGATTCATGTGTTGAAGTAGTCTTTGTCACTCTTTTGAGACTTCTTTTCAGTTCTATGTATTTAAAATAAAATTATACTACTACTTTTTTGCTGTTTGATGATGGTTGTGATTTGCCCCTATTTATTTTTTCGAGGTTTTCTTTTAATTTTTTGGAAAACCATTCTGATGTATTCATATGTACAAGACAAATGTTACAAGCATTTTCTAGTTTTTCTACGTAAGATTTTTTAACTGACCAGACCAAAATACGTTAACGTCTCTTCCAATTTTCTGGACTTATATTAATACGTCATAATTTGTGGTAGTAGTCTACACAAATTTAATCACAACTTTTTCTGGCCCAATTGGATTATAGAAACGAACCTGTTTTGTTGAACGTTCAGAAAAATTTGGGTATTTTCCTAATGTGCAATACATCAAACTTCTATCAAGATGAAAGGGAGATGATAAAAGGGACTACACTAATCCGTTTCAAAAATTTATCTAATCCTTATTCCCCTTAACAATGTGGACCGGAGCCTGTGTTGGACCTAATGTTCGGGCACCCCTTGAAGTCTCTTCTTCTAGGGGGCTCGTTTGCTGCCATGAATGAATGTGATTCATGTGTTGAACTAGTATACTTATGCTACAAATCAATGGGATGTGTTGAACTTGATAGTAATGTTTGTGACTCTTTTGAGCTCTAGGTATTAAATTTATATTACTACTACTTTTGCCGTTTGATGCTCAGAAATAAAGTATTGTGTAGTTGCAGAACTGATGATAGTCTGGTAGTATTTGTGACTCTTTTGAGCTCTATATTTGTACTCCTATCTTTTGCTGTTTGATGCACAATTGAGCTACTAATACTTAATACATGATCGCTTTGCGATTTCCTCAATCCAAAGTCGGATTAGGACGGATTCTCTAGCCGGGTCCAAGTTTCTTCAATTGGTGAACCCGCCCTTACTACTGTTAACAAGTGTTCCAAAATCATCTGCGGCGGCGAAAGATTCCGTTTCGTCCTTGCTTGAGTATTACCATCAGTTACGGGGAAATTAACTCGACTTTTTTTATCCTAATATCTCTATAAATACATACATTACGGGAAAATCAGTCATTATTAAAAGTCTGCCGATAAACCCATAATCAGACCTTGCGACTTGACCAAATCCAAAGACGGCGATCACATCTTTCAGATGTCTCAGCAATGCATTCAATTTTACAACACCACACTTCCAAATTCTGACTCTAAGGTACAAACTACCAAATTCAGTTTTCCTGTCATTTTGATTTGATTCATATACATTTTCTTTTTGGTTAAATTGAGTTTGGGATTTTTCCATTGTTTATTTATTTATTTTCTATGATTCTGGGTGGTAGGTTAATTATGTACCGGAGTGTTAGGGTTGAGAAGGCCACTTGTGCCCTTGATTCTCATGACTTCAGCAAAGATTCTGACGACATCTTTCCCATTCCAGAGCAACAAAACAACACATCTCCTGATAACGTTAGTTTGATTTTCCTTTTTGCCATTTGATTTTTGATTATTTGAATTAATATATTCCTCTTTTGGTAATTTACTGTTTCTTATTTTCATTATTTTACTTCTTTTCTTTTCCTTCTTGGTAGAGATTCCTTTCCGTTGGGTATTATTTTATCACCTTCATGGCACGCGTCGATGATGATGATGATTCCAGTAGTAGGGAAGAAGCCTTTGTAGGTGAGTATGTTGTTTATCCTGCTAGTAGTGTAGAGAAGTCAATGGCGGTGTTCTGCCAGAAGAAAAGTGTGGTATTTGAAGGTTGGGAAAAGAGTAAGAATACTTGTAAGTGCCGACTTCCTTGCTGTGACCCTGGTCGCATTTTTGCTGGTGACTACGCCGCCAAGAACCGACTAGCCCGCTCGAAGGCTGCTTCTTGAACTCTTCTTCTTCTTTCTTGTCATGAATGGTGCGATTAATGTGTTGAACAAGTAGTAGTATTTACGGCTCTTTCGATACTTCTTTTTGAGCTCTCTGTATTCAACTTATCCTACTACTTTTGCTGTTTGATGCACATTTGAACATACATAGTGATGGTTGTGATTTTCCTTCTCTTTCTTTTTTTTTTTTTTTTGGAGAACCATTCTTTTTTCTTCACATACAGACAAGCAGCCAAACATTATAAGCTAATCAGCATTTTCTGGCTTTACTGTGGCATATAAGATTGTTGTTTAACTGACCAACCAAAATACACATACCTCTTCCTACTTACTTTTTCAACTTCCTACTTTCTGAAAGTCTGGAAAATCCTAACGTCATAATTTGTGGTAGTGGGCTGTCCAAATCTAATCTCAAAATTGTTGAATGTTTGAGAATCTGAGTATTTGCCGAATGTCCAATACGAGAGTACATCAAAGTTCTTATCAAGATAAAGGACATGATAGAAGGGCCTCCCTTCCAGAATTTATCTAATCCTTAATCCTCCGCCCCAAGAGATAGTTAGTTCATTATATTGTATTGTACTCCCTCCATTCTAAAATAAGTGTCGTTTTAGCAAAATAAAGAAATTTCAAAATAAGTGTCGTTCTCACATTTCAATACATTTTTTGTCAAAAGTTTCCAAAATTACCCTCAAAAGAGTTGATGCTATTGGTGGACAATTTTATAATGGGGTTGGTTGAGGATATTCAAGTAATTTTATTACCCTATTTAAGAGTTTCTTAAACTATGTGCAAAGTTTAGGACGACATTTATTTTGAAATGGAGGGAGTACAACTTAAGTTTAACTGTGTGAATTATTTTGTTTGGAACACAGGAAAAGTGCAAAAACTGATCTCTTTTTTCACTTTAGTTACTCTCTCCCTCCCAAACTATTGTCCACTTGAGATTTCACTTTTAGTATAATTTGAACTAGAAATGAAAACTCGAACTGGATAATAATTTTGGGAATGTGGGAGTATTTATTTCTGTTGTTAGAACAATAATCTAATTCTGAAATGTTAGGATAGATCGAACTTTATAAAAACTTGTATAATGTAAGTCAACGGTGGGCCAACATTCTCTTTTAAGACACAGTAATGACCTACTAGTAATGTGGCCTAATTAGGCTTCCAACATTTACAACTGAATGAAGAAAGCTTACTTGTGCACCATCTATGCGTAAATCACTCATTTTTTGTGTCTCAAAATCGTAAACCAAAAACTTTTCCCCATCAATCTGCGAAAGCAAGCCTCTGCTGTTTTTCGAATATGCTAGAGGAGTAAATCCGCAAAACATATGCATCATGTCAGTGTATCCCAATTTAATTGTAGTCAACTTGATCCAAGATTCAACTTTTCCATACTCCTCCATCAACCATAAATCAACACATTTTCCTCCATCCTCTCCATAGTAAAAGGAGACAAAACAAAGGAAGCCATTTAAGGCTACCAATTTGTGTGGGTAAATAAAAGATCTTTCTGGTTGTCGAGGGCAGGCCATTTTTCGAAATTCCTCGGTGCTAAGATCGAATGCCATTATGTCGATTACACCATTCTGATCCTTTCCTCCCATCCAGTGCAATGCACCGCTGACAAAACTACCGTCTCGCGGTATAAAGAAAGAATTCGACGGCGTATAATTAGTTTGGAAATGCTCCATCTTCCTCCATGAGCTGTACTTGAAGCAATATACATAGACTTCATCAGACCAAGTCGATTGATCTTCATCAAACACGTCATAAAATCTCATCTTATTGAACACTTTGTAGTCGTCATTGACGCTGTCATACCCGAATCCTAGAAGCGAATCGGCTCCTCCGAACATGGAATATTCAACAGGGGGAGAAGGCAACTCCCAAGCCTTCTGAATCCATGGATTCCACACTAAAATTGTGGAGCTATTTGGATAGACTAAGCAAAGAAGGCCGTTGCACGAGCCAACTAAACGAACTTCATCACTTCCCAGATGATCCAATGGAGGCTTGAGACGCTTGGCAATGGCCTTACCAGCCCCAATGTCATCAAAATCTAGAGTGTAGAAATTGTTTCGAGTTGAGGAAACAATCCTGAAAGTTTCATTATCTTGGGATTTTGATGATTTGAGGTGGAATGCATCAAAATGCATTCGCACGAATTCAGGGCTGTCGATCAAAGATCGCCATGACTTTGAAACGCGCCTGGATTGAAGAAGGGATTCAAAAGGCAGCCTTAAAAGTATATTGGCAAACAAGTGATTTGGAATGGAATCTAACATGGTTGTAACTAAATGTAAGATCTAAACAGAACACATCATGAAGAAAAGGGAATTAGTCTACTCTGTATGTTATAAACAGTACATTAGTTTTTTTCATGACAGATGTGCAGTTCCATTTGTTGAAGTCAACTCCAAAAATACAGTAAAAAATACTAATGAACTTGCGCTTGAAGGACAAGAAAAAGAAGGAGAAACTTCCAGGAATGGATTGAACGTTGACTTTCAAGTTGCTTGTTAATTATTTAGGCATTTCCGTGGATTATGACATCCATATACATGAACAACCCCTTAGTTAGAGATTAATATATGAATATCTCTGTGTACAGTCTGGCTTTGATGAAGCATAATTTAGTCAAGGAGATTCCATTTTGATCACAAAGCAGCAGTAATGAACTGAAGAAATTGATGAGTACACGAAATTAGTGAACACAAAAATGTGATTAAAATACTCTTATTGTGGGACAATGTTATCTCCCAAAGCGAACCTATGCAGATCAAATCCAAGTTAGTCGAGCTCGAGGCAGTGGCTTAGGGACACTGGTTGCATAATATACTAAAAAAGGAAAAGCGCATAAAAATAAGTCCAGATAGGCGTAGCGGTGGAGTTCCAACTCATCTCATCTCACAGCGATATTGCAACAATCTTATCTTATGTATCTGCAAACTGAAAAATCTAATAATAAGAACATCAATCAAGGTAAGTTAGTATTTTCAATTCTTTTTTTTTTCTTTTTTTTTTTCATACTGCGTACGGTGTCCTAAGTGCATTGTACTTCGATTAATCTGCACCGAGCCGTCCTTTCGGAGGGAAAGTCTCCCAACATTAATCTGCTCCGATTAATCTGAAACCTCGTTTAAGGAAACTAAAGCACCTTACCCCTTTGGACAAGTACAAGTATGTGCTTCAATTTTGTTACTGTCATTTGCAATTTTGCAACATGGAGCAAAAAATGAATCAAGTTTTTTGTTGTTTGGTGGACTTCAGGCCCATGCAAGATTGCTAAAAGCCCAACACAATCATAAACCGCATGGAAAAATTTTTATGGGCTAAAATATTATTCTTAATCCTATTTTTTAGTCCTCTAGATTACACATGATTTTATTTTTCTTTTCTTGAAAACCAACCCAAAAAAATTTAAAAGAATACATTTTGTACCCACGGAATTTGACGAATTGATCAAAAACATCTCAGCTTATATGAAAGGTAAGAGTAGTGGCGAAAATTCTCGTCAAGTTTTCTTAACATTTCCCGGTCTTGTTAGGCTATTTTTTCAGATGGAGGGGTTTTTTTTTTTTTTTTTTTTGGTTGGTTTTGGTTTTTGGTGAGGAATGTTCATCAAGCATTTAATGTTGTTAGGTATAACTGATCAAGGTCTGGTGATGTTATCGAATCATGCAATCGGGTGAATAAATCTGTCTTCTATCCATACTAATTGGAACAATTTGTTCAAATTATTGATTTCCATAAAGTTGAAATGATTTGTTTCTGTATATAGAGAGTTCTTATTGAGCCAATCAACGTGATTCTAACCTGATCGTTAATTAGATACTTTCTGTGTTCGCTCACCCACTATTCCTCTAGATTTTTAGTGCTATTGTCTCGAAAATTAAACCAGGAATAGATTCGATTTTTACTGTGACAACAAAATGTTCATGTAAATTAGGCAACATTTGATGATTATATATACAGGTGAGTGATTATATGGTGAATCGTGTTCACCCTATTTGGTACACTTGTTTTGTGTATACACGCGTTTCTTTTGACAGATATAACTAATTATTTGATAAATTAATTATAAAAATAATCTTAGCGTACAATATGAACTATATTATTCTCTAAAAAGTAGGATTAAATTTGTTCAAAAATATAAATTATGTATGTTCATCCTAATATGGTTAAAATCCATAATAAAATCCTATCTACTTTATTTATTCTATAAAAATAAAATATCTCGGTGTGATTTATATTCATCATTTTCATAAACAAATTTCATTAGTATATAGTTGGATGTTCATGATAATTTTTATACAATTTCATTCGTTATATGGTGATATCATATTCATACTCATTTCAAACATAATTCACGATGATTATGGCCAATTTTCACCATTCAAAAGAATACAAATTTTAAATATTATATTATAAAAATACAATGTTCATAACCATAGGTTACGATGTTCAAAATTAAATTACTTATGGTTGATATGAAAAGGAAATAATAATTGGTTAGGATATAATGCTCATATAAAATTTACACATTGTTCATACAATACAAGGTAATAATAATTATTCATAACTATAAGATATAATATTCATAACAAATTTACACATTATTCATAGTTTACATATAAATTTTAATATGAATTTATATGGTATGAATATTGTTCAAACCTCAAAGATGAGAAATTCATTATCGTAGAAAGTGTTTTTCATATTTTCATTACCCAATAATACTTGTTATATTCAAGATATCACACAATAATATTCATGATATATTTTAAGAAATCATCATACTTGTACGCTTTTATTATGATTAGTCACAATGTTCATAAACATGATGCACAATATTCATTATAAGTTGTTAAATAAATTTTTAAAATAGGTTTAATGTACACGGTTGATTTGGAGATATAAATGGAAAAAATTAAATTAATTATAGAAATAATTAATTCTTGAGAGAAAAAAGGGGAGAAATTGAATTAATTAAGGAAATGATTGACTTGATTAGGTGCGCGTGGGAAAATTTTAAAACAATTTATGGAAATCCACACTCTCTTTTTTCTTTGGTATTTTACAAACAAAAAAAATCTGTGTACCATTCTTGGTGAACATGGCGCACGATACAAATTGTCAATATACAGATGACTCCTTTTTGACAGACTTAATTCCAAATCGAATCCTGATGAAATTATCTGTAATATTCAAGACTTCCCGAAAATTATGGTTAACTTCTTTTGGAGAAATGGACTCTGCGTGAAAAACTTCTCTCTTCTCCTCTTTCTCAGCCGCCTCTCTCCCTCTCCCAAACCCTAAAAAAAAAAAAAGAAATTCTTCTTCCCCCATCTTCTCACCATGGGAACATGGAGAAAATAGTTTTTATTCAATCTTATTTTAAAATTTTACTTTTTAATAAGTGGGATTATTTCCAAATTTTAATCCATCAGCAGATCTTAATCTATTGATTGTGTTGGAGTGTCTCAGAAGATCTTAATCTACTGATAGTAGGAGTTATTCAGAGTCTTTCCGGCAATCAATGCTCATTAGGTTGTTGATCGTAGTTCTTGTTCGAGATGCAGCTACCGTAGATCTATTCATTAGATCTATGAAATTGAGTTTTCAACAGAAGACAAGTGATATGTTCGGGATCATATTTTGGTATGTGGCATATCCAACTGATAATGAAGAATTCAATTGAATAGATCTAGATCTGTATAGATTGAATTATAGTGAATACAACAGTTTTGAATAGAATATTATACATATGGACAATTGTAATAGTTCAATGGTTGTATTCTTGTTTCAATCGTTATATGACGATTTCCACTAAAGTTAATACAAAGTCTTGTTTTTTTATTAAAAAAAAAAAAACTTCTTTTGGAGAAGAGTATATCTCTTTCTGTGGGAGGGGGTTGGGATAAATTTATAATAATGGATTCTTGTGACGGTTGCCAAAGGACCACGGATTAGAAAATTGTGATTAATTTATGTTTTTATTGTCATAACAAATAATGCATCAATAATCATCTGTTGCAGTTTTACTATGAGAATTTCGTGTAAATCTATCAATTGATATAGGTCATATATAGCACATCACTTTTTAAAAGGTGGATTGGATCCTCCATTTTTCCTCGCCAGAAAATTATCATTTTCTTCTCCGTGTATACATCATCGAAGAAGTTGATTGTAACGAATGCCAAAAATAATAATATCAAGTTGAAAGAGACAAAAGGTGATAATGATTGAATTATCAACGAGGGGCTAATCATCAAATGAAAGATTAATCAAAGTTTTATATAAGAGAACCAAAAGGAGTAGTACACGATTTTGATTAGTCAAATCTTATAATGAGAAAACCCCACAAGCCACAAGAACAGGGGTAAAAAAAATAAATAAATAAAATTGTGTTCCAAACTCAAATGTGACATCTCCAATGAGTGAATATAATCGGGAGCATCTGATCTCAAGATGGGTTGGTATGTGTTTTGAAGTATTTGTTTTTAAGAATTAAAATTTTGCATCAAATTATTTGAGAGCTGCTAGATTATCGAATCGTGAAAAAATTTAATTTCTTTTATATTCACATATTAGTATCATATCACGATTAAAAAATTATATAATCGAAATTTTTTACGAAATGTTTTATAAATATTAGATAGATTAGAATACGATACAATCAATTATTTTTATTTATGAAATATTGTATTAAGATTCGTCTAGTACGTTGTACCAAAAAAGAGTGGGGCCACTTGATGTCATTTGCGGACTTCATGAAATTACAAAGATAGAAAGGTACTTTATTACTGAACGTATTTACAATGGCAAGTATAGTGTGAGATTCAACAACCTAGGCTTGAGGGCATCAAAAGGCAAAGGGACTTGCAATAATTACCCATACGTGGAGGAGATTCCATGGATTACTTATACTTAGAAAAGTTTCACATTTAATTAATTAATAAAAGTCAAAACAAAATAGTGGTAATATTGTATTTGTTTATTTAAGGCTTAATAAACTCATATTCGCAAGTTTGGCACGTGATGGTTTATGGATGATATTGTTTGATGAAATGCATCTTTTCAAACCTAACAAACCTGTCAACCTATATATACCTTTCACATACCGCACCATTTCTACGTACTGGTTTTGCTACTTTGCTTGCGCAAAACTGTAGCGCTAAAGTGTGGAAAAAAAATTGGCCAATAAATAGAATTTTGATGGAATGGAATAAATAATATTAAAGAGTTAGCTAGGTGTATATTTTGCAGACAAAAACGGATAAATAAATATATATTGGTTGCAGCCCCAAAGGCCCAAACCATTAATTTGAGCTGGTCGGCTCGGGCGGTGCCTCACGTCCAATTGCTCTTCACCCTGC